ATGCCAGGAACAGAACAATGAGAAGAAATAACACTGTGAATGATGCTGTGAATTTTCTTCTTCCCCCTTACAGTTTCTCAAATTCCATGTTAATTGGGCAAGGTCTCAACACCCCACACAACTCCATACACAGCTATACTATCATGCACAATTCCATACACCATTCACACAATCACTATTATATGTCTTCATTCCACTGTACTATGGACATTAGTTCCATAAGATGTGGTGATGATGGTACCAACTTAGATGGTGTCGAAAGAGAGTAAGACAGATTGATCGCTACTAGACATATTAGCAATATGTTACTTTCTGGAAGAGTACTTTTGCCTCCATGTCCGGCTGTTGACTTCTCATAAGAATCTGTTTGGCTGCTGTGAGAAACAATAACTGGACTAGATAGGCCAGTGGTCTGATCCAGCAGGGTGGCTCTTATGTAAATGTGTAAGAACAAAATTATGGGCTGAAATGCTTTAAAAATGGTTATATAGTGGTACCTCGGGTTACAGACGCTTCAGGTTACAAATGCTTCAGGTTACAGACTCCGCTAATCCAGAAATAGTACCTCAGGTTAAGAACTTTGCTTCAGGATGAGAAAAGAAATGGCGGGGCAGCGGCGGGAGGCCCCATTAGCTAAAGTGATACCTCAGGTTAAGAACAGTTTCAGGTTAAGAACGGACCTCCAGAATGAATTAAGTTCTTAAACTGAGGTACCACTATATAGGTGAACTGTGTGGATTGCAACAGCCACAGCAGTTTCAAGAGAATTCCTAAGGCCCAGTCTAAGGTTTAAGCCGAGGTATTAAAAATTACTGGATTTATACAATTTCAGTAATCAGTAAACTTTCATTACATTAGCCAAAGGCCATGGCATCATCTAAGCAGAAGAAAAGAAAAAATATCAGCAATCACCACAATTTCACAGTCCTAAACTTGGCTACGTCATAGGTGTAAGCGACTACATATTAGAGCTTTTAGGTAGTACCAGTAATAGTCCCAACAGTTTTCAGGTTCTATGTTGGATCACTCCATAGTTCCATATACTGAGATGGTCCTGACATTGTTCACCAAGCCAACCTTGACCAAACAGACAACATCTGACAAACAATGGGCTGAGAGCAGCTGTTAAACCAAACCTTAAATGAGGCTTTGGGCAAACTGTTGCTTGGCATGACGATCAACCAACAAACCAGACTTTGGTATCCCATACATCAGAATTCACTTTTTCTCTCTACAAACAATGGATTATTAGGCGCTCCCTTATTTGTTCTAGGATACACAAAGAGCACCAAGAATTATACAGTTAGAAAAGCAAGCATGATTGCTCCCCTTAACATTATCTTTACAGAACTCTCACGCTAACATTTCAATAAAAATGCTATGGATAGTATATAAAGTGGTCTTTGCTATCATCAAGAAGACACCTCCCAAGTGACTAAAAAAATTATGTACAGTACTCTGCTCCTGCGATGCCCACAGGATAGCTCAGTCAGTACAGCACAAGACTCTTAATCTCAGGGTCATGGGTTCAAGTCCCACATTTGGCAAAAAGATTCCTATAATGGAGGGGACTGGACTAGATGACCCCTGTGGTTCCTTTCAACTCTACAATTCTGTTATTCTGTATTTCTCTGTGGTTAATCCACATAATATGTAGGTAATGCTCTATTTAATTTTCTTCCTCAACCATCCTTTTCAGTGAAGAAACATAGTTATTATATTGCCTCAAAAGGCAAAGTCAGGGGTTTAACCAGCAATTTCCTCTGTAAGACTTGGGCTTTTGGAAGATGAGGTCTTTGAAAGCACAAAGCCATCTTTATCTGCAATATATGTAGAGCTCTACAATCCTTCTCTTTCATTTATCACTAGCTGGAAGCTGAAATATGAGTGAATCATATTTATGTCTCTCATCTTTTGACTATGAGTTACAAAAGTAGACTTTGGACAGAAGATATCATATTCATCACAACTTCAAGCAGCTCACAGAAAAATAAACTGATGAACTGTTCATAAGAAAGGAAGCAATACATGACACTTAAGAGACTGGATGTATCTCATTAGTTCCACCCTAGTAAAACAGCATCAGAAAAACATTTCTTCTTCCTTGTCTTTACATTTTTCATGCATCTTTCACTTTGTTATTCATTGTCCAGAGACATAACCATGTTCCTCTGTTGCAGCAAAAACAACAAAATGAGTCTTGTGGCACTTTAATGACTAACAGATTTATTATGGCATAAGCTGTCATGGTCCACAATACAATTCATCAGATGCATGAAGTTTTATCCTGAACTCTTGATCTGACTGTTTATAATTCCAACATGCCACCCCATGGGTATATATATACCTGCAACTCAGGATAACACCTCATACATCTGATTAAATGCCTGTATTATACAAAAGCAAATGCCATAATAAATGTGTATGTCATTAAGGTGCCAAAACACATTGTTCTTTTTGTTATTGTGTCACTATTTATTTTCTCACTTGCGTATTTCGAAAACAAAGGCCATTGAAATTGGCCCCATTTGAACATCACATCATGGTTAATGACTTACCATGCTCATTCCTAAAAGGGCACAGAGTAAGCAAATCATGATCCCTGATCAGATGCAATGCAGAGCCAGGGATGCTTGTTTGTTTCCCCCCAGCACTAGTGAGGAGAATACAGAGCAAACCATTAATTATGGTTTACCATGATGTGTGAATTGGATCACTGTGTTTATTGCACAAATGTGTAATTGCTCATTTAAAAATCAAGCCAAACTGTGCAAGCCACCAAATTCCCTTTCTGCCAGGCTAGAAGAGGGTTAGATTGAGTGGAGGCACAGTCCTGTTCTTCTGCACTTGTGGAATGACACCAACATCACTCTGCTGGCACAGAATAGTCTCTTCTGCCTGCTTGCAGTGGATAGCCCTGAAACATGGCATTTTGAGGTGCAGGGAGAGGCCACTTCAAAAAGCCCATTGGGTAGCAGCCAGGTTTTGGATTGTACCTGGAGTGAAGTAATGCTTACATAGCAATAAGTTTTGTACAGAGGCTCCAAAGAACTCCACAATTCAATGGAGCCAATTCAATTATTACCTGTTTCACGAAACTGAAGGCAAACAAGATTACCTAATCAAAAAGGGCAAAGTCCAAACTAAGATTTACATAGAAAAGGGCAATTGTGAATCACAACATTATTTCAGAATACTTTTTATTCTACATTTGCTTTGCAACTAGGTTCTTTTCTTTTTTTGGCACTACAAAAAAGGGAAAATGGTAAATTAGGCAGGAGTAAATATACCGTGTAGAGTTAGTCAGAAGAGCACATGGGGTGGGCGTGTTGTGATACTGCATTTTCAGAAGCAACTGTTAGATTTTAATACATAACATCACAATTAATCAGGATTTAGACTGCAATATTATACACATTTCTCTAAACAGGAAAAACCACTGAGTAGGCTTGCATATGACTCCTAAATAGGATGAAAGACTAAACACTTACTAGAAGGTAAACAAATCCCAGTGACCTTGATGTGATTTGCTTCTCCGGAAACGCTCACTGCATAACTAAAAACTGCTATCTCCTCGTTCTATAGCAACAGCATACCAACTCAGAAGTTCAATGGGACTAACGCTTAGTTAAGCCTAATTAGCTCTAAATCTAATTTTTTTACATGTTTGTGAGTGCTGGTCTTAAAAAGCTGGATAGAAATATACCAAACACATTCATCAGTGTTTGTGATAGCCATGGGTTAGGCTGCACAAACTGTGAGACACCAAATATGACCATACCAGCCTGTATGTATTTATTTTAGCCTGACAAACCCATCCTCATCACCCAGTATTTAATAGGCAGGTAAGAAAAAAACAGAGAATAACTCGCCAGTGACTGGTGGGGTTGCTTGCAGTTTTGGGAGATCACAAGTTGTTACACCTATGGCCTCCTTGCTCTGTACAATCTAAACTATTGCTATTGCATCAAACGACGGAATAAACCCACTTCTTACGTCACAAGGCAAAAAGAGCACCTAAAACTTATTAAGAAGTCACTAATCCATAATAATTGCTCTTGCACTGCTGCTGGGTGGTTCAAAACATGGTTTGGTTCCTGTGTTGATCACAACCATTCCTATAAGATTAATATTAATAATATAATGTATTTGTATTATAAAAACTCCTGAAGCTCTACTGAGTTCCACCCTTCCCATTCATGTTTGTCCATGAACCGAGGACAGTTTCTAAACCCTGTTGAACAATTCTGACTACTTGCATTTTTATCTTGCCCTACCTCCATGGGGGATCAGGACCACATAAGTGATGGAACCTCTCTCCCCAATTTATCTTCACAACCACCAGCCTGTGAGATGGGACAATTGCTCACTCTTAGCTCCTCCTAAAGACACTGAGGGTGACAAACACGTCACGGAGCTCTGAACTATAAATTCACCTATACAATTATTAACGTAAGTATCATGAAGGGAATTATTGGGGGGGGGGAGACATCAGGGAAATAATAATCCCCCCAAGCATAACCCCCTATTCAAACTAATCCAAATTTTTAATCCGAGGAGTTTTGCAAATCGCCTGGTTGATTTTTCTCAAAACAGAAGTCAGCGAATAGTTAAAACAACAACACAGAACAGAACTCATCTTCACCACAACCCAAGTAACATTTTGAAGCTCTTCCTGACCACATGAGTCATTTTTTATGCCTTGTTACTGCTGTTGTTACTATTATTGGTTCCACACCCCTCTTAGGGCACGGAAGTCATCCTGAGGTGGTCAAAGGAGAGCGAGAGAACTCGGCGATCCTCTCTGAAAGAAGCCGCAACACTTCCCATCCAACCCCCGAAACTTTTAAACTCTAATGTGCGGGGTGCTTATGTGTGTGTGTGTTGTGGTAAGAATTAACGATGTTGGGTACGTCTCCCCCTCCGCGCTTGACCCGGTCTCAATCCCAACTGCAGCTCGGGAGAAGGAGGAGGAGGGAGGAGGAGGGAGGCGGACTCACCTGGTGGAGGTAAGGCGCGGGGGAGAGAGCGCCTCAGACCCGCGGGAGGGCGGGAAAGGCGCCAAGGAAAAGCGCGGGCTCCCGGCTCTCCTCAGGGGACCCGCTGCCGCCGCTTCCGCCGCCGCCGAACCCGGCCCAGGTCGGTAGGGCTGAGGCAACGTGGCTGCTTCTCTTGTGAGTTTCCGGGCGGAGGAAAGAAAGAAAGACGAAACCACTGAGAGGGCGGAGAGAGGGAGGAGAAAGAGGAGGCGGGTGCCGCTCAGGTGCCTCAGCTTGCCCGCCTCCACCCCTCGAAACAGCCGCTGCCGCCGCCTCTTTCCCCGCCTGCCTTTGCCTTTGCCGCCGCCCCTCAAAACAACGCCTCACACGCGCGCCTGGCTGGTTGTCCTCCAGGTGCGCCCCCCCCCATAAGTTTCCTTTCTCTCTGTGTCACACACACAAGAGATGTATAAAATGAATGGCTAGCTCAGATACCGCCGCCCTTGGCCAAACTGTAGCCCCAAATCGCAGGCTACAGCGCGGTGCAGACGCGGTTCGAGCGACCTGGGAGATCAGGGTTCAAGCTGCGGGGAATGACCCGCGGGTCGTCTTTGCCTGCTCTCAACCTAACCTACCTGGCAGAGCTGTTGTGAGGCCACCTTATGCTCCTTGCAGGTGAAGGGGGAGAGTTATTTATTTCATATATTTTATACACCGCTTGTTTGTAACACACACACACACACACACACACACACACACACACACTGTTTATGAAAAGATTGAAAAATTAAATTGGGTGGGGGTGGGCAAAATCCGCAACGCTACTTTAAAACATACAAAAGTTAAAACACTAAAACCTCCTGATGGGTTCATGCACTTACACTTGTAGCCCAATCCTAAACACACATCCTAGGGAGTCAGACCCATTGAACACAATGCACTTTTGTTTTTCTTGTCTGCACAGTTTCTCCATCAGTCCTAAAAAGTGGTGGGGTGTTACATAAACTGTGCCCATTTTATATTTGTTTTTTATCATTTATTAAGTTTGCATCGCACATTTATATGCAACTCTAGAAAGTATTGTTGCATGCCACCCCAGTCTTCAAGTGGTGTGAGATTCCATGGGTTCCAACCACTTCCTTAAGAATGCGGCACAGCGGAGACTGGTATCTTTGTAATATATGGTTTATTTACACGTATATACAGTGGTACCTCAGGTTAAGAACTTAATTCATTCTGGAGGTCCGTTCTTAACCTGAAACTGTTCTTAACCTGAGGTACCACTTTAGCTAATGGGGCCTCCTGCTGCTGCCATGCCGCCGCCACACAATTTCTGTTCTCATCCTGAAGCAAAGTTCTTAACCTGAGGTACTATTTCTGGGTTAGCAGAGTCTGTAACCTGAAGCGTCTGTAACCTGAGGTACCACTGTACAACAATGGAGGCAGTGTCGGATTAAAGCCTATTGAAGCCCCTAGGCTGTCCAAATATCCAGGCCCCTCTTGCAGATTATCTCCTAATACGTTTTTTATTTTACCAACCAATAATTCTAATAAACCCATTTTGATCCATTGTCGTGGGGCTCTTAAAAGGCCACCTGGCATTGGATGGAGGGGTTCACAGCATTAACACTCCAAGAGGACTTTGCTTCCCCCATAGCCACAGTCTTGGATTTAAACATAAATCACACAACTCTCTGGCTTTCCAACCTGTTGCTTTCTGCTCATAGCTCCTAGCTCACATCTCCCAACTCTCTAGCCTTTGTCTTTCTAACTACCAGCCAGTTGAGGGAAGGGCTCAACCCATTTATTGTCTGGCACAGATTCACTTCTTTTGTTCACTTAATGGCCCATTAATTAGGCTTTCATCTCACCAGGAATTTGAATCCTTGTTTATATTTTAACACTTGGGTCTTGGCATACAGCCTACTCCTCTGCACCAAACTCATAAAAGTATTCTGTGAGGTGACCTAAACGGAGAAAAACAGCAGCTGGTCCACGTTCAGAGAACTGACCTTGAAGTCAAACTGTCCAGCCAGTGTTTTATGGTGTTCAGATTTGCAAGCTTATCTAGATTTCCATTTTTCCTCTGGCTGCCTTTTCGTCAAGAGGTCTCTGAGCAGTAATATTACAGTAAGACAAAAATATTAAAATATAAGCCAATATACATAAAAAGAATTAGCATAAATCCAAGGAGCAAACAAAATTCATAGTGCTGTTATAACAAGAACAGCAAACTAAGAGAAAATGAAACTCCCAGCCAAAGAGTGTGATGAAACAAAGCCCCTATCAGAAAGGATGAAAAGGAGTTTTAACCTTTTTTTAGCCCATTGGACTTTGAATTGCTCAAGAACATATAACAATAATGTTGAACTTACATTAGGTCATATATTTACCTTTGATTGACACATGGCTCTGTTCATTCTTGCTTAGCAATGCTCATTCTTGGCAGAGATAATGTGAGAGAGCTTCAGAGTCATTGCTCGTGTCACGGAGAAAAACAATTTAAAATGAATGCACATTCTGACCAACTTAGAGGAGTAAACCACAGTCTTAAGAAATACAAAAACCAATTTCAACATCTTCTATGAGATGCTACCTGAGAGGAATTCTTAAAACTTTCTAGCCCTTTTCTTGCCAGTAATTTCATATTTTGTAGGGGTTTTTTTAGGATCCTTGTGCTATTCTTGTTGGCAAACATATCTGTTCACTACCCCAGGCACTGTACTGCAGAAAACATTTGGCATTTCATAGTTTCATTACCTCACCAGTCTCTAGCAATATATTGGATGCATACCCATTACCTAGCACTACTCTGTTCCCCTTTTAACCCATGTATAACATTTGTATGTCATCCTCCCCAACAACTGGCATTTCTCTCTGCCTATCATTTATTTGCACAATATCCCACACTATCTTCCCCTTGATGCACAAGGGCCCCAGTTAAGGATACCCAAATATTCCTTTTATGCCATTCAGTCCATGTCCCAGCTATCCCTCATTCTTGGTAGTTTATTTAAAAATAAAAGATACAAGATCAATCATATAATTAAAAATGATCTTCGTTACTTTAGACATATTGATCAATATCATTCATTCTTATAGCTATCATCTAGAATTCATCTTACCCTATGCAGTAACTGGTATTGTGATTTTCAGACTCACTTGCTGGATCATCACCTCATTGTGGTGAGTGGGCTTGCATGCTCCTATGACCCTTGTGAGCGAAGCTGCCAGGAGTCTTATATTCCCAGTAGCGTCACGCAAGGCAGTAAGGTCAAAGGGGAGGAGCTAGGCAAAGAAGGATCCAAGAAGTCCTCAACAGCAGAACAGGCAGAAGAATCTACCAGTCTTCATGATACTCATGCCATCGGAGATTGTGCATTGGTGTCTTCCAAAACCAAATCCCAAACCCAAAAAAGTCCCATGATGATTGGCAAATGGTAACGGGGGCAGGACCGTGAAATCTGAAAGCCCCTAGTTATGAACCAGCACATGGGCGGTGGATACATATTCAGTCACTCTGACCCAAGGAATGAGGCAGTTGAGCAGCTCGGCAGCTGTATCCATGACTGAGCAGCCCTATTTAGGATCTACTCTGCTCATCCCAAAAAGGCGGAGGGGCTAGAAAAGGTTCCCTAAACATAGTCTACCCTCCTTTCCCCTGAATGGATTAACCACGCCAGTGCTTTACCACCAGGAGTCGTAAGACAAATTGAACTTTGAAGATGGAATATACGGACTTGTGGATAAAACAGATAAAAACATCCCCGAAACACGAACTGCCATCATTGCAAGAGAGTTGCAACGTTTAACATTAAGGGGGGTGAAAGGCGGGATATCAAGTCCAAACTCCTCCTCCTCTTCTTCTTCTTCTTCTTCTTCTTCCTCCTCCTCTGCAGTCATAAATACATAATACTGAGTTTATTGGAGCTTACTCCCTGGTGACTGGCTATGCATGATGGCAGTCATGCTTTTTTCTAATAAATGGAGTATTATGCCACATAGAACTGGTCTTTATTGTGTGTGCATGTTTGTGTGTAAATATTAGATCAATACATCTGCATTTTTAACTCTCCCAAGGGAAATTGCTATTGGAGCTGTCATGATGAACTGCTGCACTTCAAAATTTACCATAAAACATCACTGCAACTGAAATCCTTCAAATAGGTTCTCTAGAATTTTCTCCTCCTCCTCCTCCTCCTCCTCCTCCTTCCTCAATTTGCTCACCATTTCCCCACATAAATATATCCAAGATGTCCTACAGCATAATAGAATAATGGATAAAAATAACATCAATACAAGTACAGTCACTTCATTTCAAAACATATAACAATCCAATTCATTTTGTTAATTCATTTTGACATAATATTTTAAATTCCTCAAAACCTCACAGACAACTTTCAAAATTCTACTCAGCTGAAAACCTCAGCAGAAGCCCTTACCCTCTGCTTTTCTTCAGTACCTGCCCATTTCTCAGCATTAGATCCTGTGTCTCTGCATCTCTTTACATGTAGGTGGGTAGGTTTGTCTTTCATTTTTCTTCCTGTTCTGTGGTGTCATATGTCTCTATATGTCTGAAACAAATGGACACACCCTACTGAATAAGATGAGACACCTGCACTGTTTATGAAACAGTTTGCTCTGAGCTAAAACCACAGGATACAGAGCCAAATTAAAAAATCCCCCCAGGTTCACTAAGATACTTATGTTGGTAGAGTACAATAATGGTTTCTAAATTAAGCTTTATTCATAAGATACTGTTTGTTTTTGAAATTAGAAATATACCTACAGATAAAACTGTACCTGTACAACCTCACAGTTGTGTTTTTTGTTTTGTTTTAAAGAATACCTAAAGAATATTTCCCTTCTTATCAGGATAAGAGCTAAGAGGTTCTTTTCCACTAGAACTGTGTTACTTGTTCTTCTTAAGAATGCATGGATAGTTTTGGAGAAGCTTCAGCTCATTGCACCACAGAGCAATTCCCTAATTATTCAGCCACAGCAGCAGATAATATGCAGACGCAACATGGGGCATTTTCTTTTGCCTCCATCCTCAAGACATAGCAACATACACCAAGAGCTACAGGAGGAGTCCTAACTGGGTGGAATAGTTTTGAATCCAGGGTATGTCCCCACACCAGGATATGGGTGGGCTCCATACCCAGGCACATCTGAGCCACTAAGGAGGGGTACTGCAGGAGAAGTAGGCCAATGCTGGGCCAACCAACACTTTTCCATGCTGTTGGTTAGTTAAGTCCTCCAATAATGCAATTTGCCCAACCTTATTATGCCAGTTGTCCTTGGTGGCTCCAGTGTCATCCTTCAAGTATCAAGCGATAATAACCAACTGAGCTGGCACAAATAAGTGTCCAATAAGAGGTTTAAACAGCAGTCCCACATTTGTTCCCTGGAAAAGGCCAAAAGTATGCCAAATCAAAGGATTTTACAGTTTTTTGCCCTGTTATTTCTTCTATTTATTTCATTAAAAATCCCCACATTTGGAAACCTTACAACAGAGCCACCACATATATTAGCACAAGCCAACTTCTCTGTATCCTTTCCAACACAGGGGAGTAGCAGAAGGATTGACGTATTTGCTGCAAAAGAACAACAATTTTTTTTAGCATTGTCTGTTTGATGGATACAGGTGTTGACTTAAAAATAAAGGTTCCAAAAATAGAAGACCAATGGGTATTTTCAAGATTAATAGACCAATCAGATTCCCACACTTCCTTCAGTTTGTCCACTGTGCCAAAGTCTTTATTGATCAGTTGTTACCCTACTAAGGATAGTGGCTCAAAGACCCGGCATTTGCTTACACTCTCCTTTAAATTATATACCGTAATTTAAAGATTTGGGCAAATCCCTAGCTAAGGCAAGTGAAATTTAGATGAAATATCTAAATCTGTAAAGACCTCCCTGTTCAAAGTTTATAATATTAAATTGCCTATCACATGAGGTAATAGCGTAGCATGATTTAGAAGGTTATGTTAGGTAAAAGCCTTTATTTTCTGTGTTTCCAAAGTTGTAGAGTCCCTGCCAAAGTGCAGTCTGTTTCTTTTCAGAGAAGTGACATAACACCATTTTAACAAAATGAATGCTGTCTGTATAATCCAACCTAAGATTCCCTTTTCCACCTACACCTACTGATTTATTTGCCTTCTTGCCATGAAATAAATTGGATGTTGAATCTGGTTTGACTCATAATAAATCTTAAATAGAGGAATGTCCCAGCCTTCTTCAGAGGCAGGTCCGTATCTATGAACGTTAGAGGTTCTTGATCTCTACTTTTAAAAGTTAAGAATTCAACTATACTCTGCCAGCAGCTTAGTATCAAGGACAGAATCACTGTTGTTAAAAACAAAAATATACAGGCAGGACAGCTCGGGAAGATTACTTTCTTTATAGCTGCCAGACAGCTGGAATTTTTTTAATTTAGTCTGTTCCATGGGCGTAGGAAGGGCAGCTAAACCCCTCAAACAAGTTAATTAAAAAAAAACCTTAAGCTGACCGACTGAGTCACAGATAGCTCAGTTCTGCCCCCGAAACAAAAGTCCTCCTCTCCCCAAAAACCCTGGCTGCACCCATGGCCTGTTCCACTGGAAATATTTTCTGCCATATGACACAATAATTTGCTCTAAAAGATTTATGCAGATGTTTATATACCCAAAAGTATTAATTATAGAGAGAAGAATACCTAATATCTGGAATAAGGAGATTTGGGTACCTGGGTATATATTCAAAGACATCATCTGACATCCTATGTCTTTCCAAAATTCACTCAAAAGCCTGCTCTCATTACAAGTTTCCAACTCAGATATGAGGTAGGGGAACAACTGTCTGGAGGCCTTGCAGGATGAGCAGAATGTCATCAGCATAAAAGTTTAACAGCTGTTCTGTGCCATTAGCATTCATGCCTGTGATAGTAAGGTTGGACCAAAGAGTGTTAGCCAAAAATTCAAAGACTAATATGAAAAGTTGGGGGACAGTGGGCAGCCCTGTTTAGTACCCCCCCTCCCTCTCTCTCTCCCCCCCCACACACACACAAAAATCTAGATCATTAGCTCATATCTATGCAGTGGTAGGTTGAATAAATAGCATGTGGCAGTAAATTTGAGGCCAAACCTATAACAAGAAAGAGAGCTTAATGAAAAATTACAATTAACAGGGTCAAAAACTTTTTATACATCCAGGGCCACTAGAATTAGGGGTGTTTTGTGTATTTTATGGAACTTAGTGAAACTAAAGACCTTTCAGATCAGCTATATATCTTTGAGGGAACTGGTTATGATTCATGTTCTTTCTAATATGTTACGTCTGGTAGGAAATAATTTATAATTTATATACTTGTAAAAGTGCTGAACATAATATGGATATAGTATGTTTCCTTCTCAGTGCTTTGTTTTTAGAAAGGCAAATATTCATATCTAGGAGGAAAGCTTAATACTTTTTCTCAATAGGAAAGTAACCCGTAATACTGAGGCTTGCATGCCAAGTATAAAGATTAGTAGTATAAGGTAATTGCAACTCAGTGGAATACTGCCCCAAATCTTACATTGGATGCTTGGTATCAATCACTCTGGAATATAGCTATAATGGAAAAAATTACAAATACAATAATTTGAGATTTTGACAAGAGCTAGAACCGCCACACACTTTTTCTGTGATTTGGCATTCCTTTATGGCATATACAGTGGAACCATCATTTTTAAGGCAGCCCTCATTGCAATTCTGGCAAATCTGGAAGCAGATTTGATAGTATGATAACTTTGATAGATGGTTGGATAGTGTTTTTGAAACTACCAGCATGAGTCTGATCAAACTACTGGAGGCAGTGGAAGACAGAAGTGCCTGGCGTGCTCTGGTCCATGGGGTCACGAAGAGTCGGACACGACTAAACAACTAAACAACAACAAACTTGGACTTTGTTTTTTTAACCCATTTGCAACCATACTCATTCTTCATGCCTGTTTTATAACTTTGTTTTTCATCTTTTTAATTTTTATCTGTTATAATAATTGTTCTCTCTGTTTTATATACATCATAACATATAATAATAGAAAACTTTACAAAAAAGAAAATTGCATAAGATTAATAATGTACCAGGCTTTTTTAAGGTTATTCAGTTTAATAATATTCATGTCCACTTAATAATCTTTTAAATGAAACCCGATGCTATAATTGCTGTAGTTATGCAGTCATCATGATATCATGGCAAGCTTAAATTTAATTCTGGAAATATGGCAATTATTTTAAATTAATATTTAATTTCCTCTCATTTTGTTGCACTATGAAACATTATTCACTTCTTTAAAATAGGGAGCCACTATGATATAGTTGCTAAGGAATTGATGGTAGACTCTCATTTAAATTTCACACTTGCATTGTTTTGAGAGTAAAGCAACAGAACTTGCAATAAATTACTTAAGCTCAATTGCCATACCTAAAACGAACTCCCCAAGCTAGATGAAAACATCCTCTACTTTTTGATAAGAACTTCATTTTCTTTACAGCTGTGCAAGTAACGCTTCATCGTATCTTCCTGTTTTTGCACCTGTTAGTTACTGGAGTAGATAAATGTATGAATCATTGTTGTGAAGTAGATAGGAGCCACTGAGTCCTATGGAGAAACCTCCATTGATACAGAGTGCAACCAAGGGACAAAGTACTTTTTCTGTTTGTTTGGCTCTCCCACTTTTATAGGGAAGGGCATTTGTGCAGCTAGAAATCTGCTTTAAAAAATCCCAGCCTGCTATAGAGGTAGAATGGTCAGCTCAACTAGTAAAAATCAGGACAGAGTAGCATGCAAGGACAGAGGCATACCTAGGCTCCCTTGTGCCCTTGGCAAGGAACTGTATCATGGCAACCCCCCGCCCCGCCCCACCCCAATCCCTTACTCACTTGGCAATGAGATGTATTCGTGCCTCCCTCCTTGTAAAGCAGCAAAGGAGTGGTCTGGGGAGCTTGTGAATGGGCAGGCAGGCTCCTAGCCACTCCGAGCCAGAGTGGAATGGTGAGATTTTTGTGCTCCCCTGTCCCTGTACCGGGGGGGGGGCACACGAGACAACCTGGAAGAAAAACTTCCAGTTGGTAGACAGTAGCCATGATATATGAATTTCTCCCATTTAGTTTGCAGTTCTTGTACCCTTAGTGGGGTATTGCTCTCATTGTTGTTGTTGTTTAGTCATTTAGTCGTGTCCGCCTCTTCTTGACCCCATGGACCAGAGCACGCCAGGCACTCCTGTCTTCCACTGCCTCCCGCAGTTTGGTCAAACTCATGCTGGTAGCTCCGAGAACACTGTCCAACCATCTCGTCCTCTGTTGTCCCCTTCTCCTTGTGCCCTCCATCTTTCCCAGCATCAGTGTCTTCTCCAGGGAGTCTTCTCTTCTCATGAGGTGGCCAAAGTACTGGAGCCTCAGCTTCACGATCTGTCCTTCCAGTGAGCACTCAGGGCTGATTTCCTTAAGAATGGATGCGTTTCATCTTCTTGCAGTCCATGGGACTCTCAAGAGTCTTCTCCAGCACCATAATTCAAAAGCATCAATTCTTCGGCGATCATGGTCCAGCTCTCACTTCCATACATCACTACTGGGAAAACCATGGCTTTAACTATATGGACCTTTGTTGGCAAGGTGACGTCTCTACTTCTCAAGATGCTGTCTAGGCCTCATAGATGTTCATTAAGCAGCATAGACTCTTGGCTTTCCATCTTGTCACAGAGAGTTGGTGAAGAGATTTACAAAAGAATAGATGGAAAGCTAGAGGGAGCGGGGGCGGGGGGGGGGGACGAACCTGGAGACAATGTTCCTATTTTCTCCTTCCATACATTAAACATAGTTTGCGTAAATCTATTTTTGATAGTAGTAGTGTTCTTAATTCTAGTTTTAAAGAAGTGGTAGACTGTGGTTGGGATATTATCAATTATATATGTTTCTAATTGTACCCATTGCTCAGAGTCATCTTCCAAGATTAAGAGAACCACATGTTTGACTTGATGAGCAATATAATATTGTTTCAAGTTAGGGACTCCCCAGCCTGATGAAGAAAGGTACAAGAATTTGGAATTTATCCTGGTTTGTGTTTTTTTACAGGACCATGGTTTTTACAAATGGTTTCCTTTTCCACTTACAGTTATGACTAAGGAGGATCTCGTTGGGAAGAGTTTGGAATAGGTATGTTAGTTTCTCTTTATACTGTATAGGCAAGGAACAGGTAAGGAAGAGAGGCAGCAGACAAGAGACCTGGGATTGTAGCAGGAGGTTGAAGTGGGTGAGGAAGCTGGGCTTGCAGTGGTAGTTGGCTTGAGAGAGGCGGTGCAGCATCACGGGGAAGCTGTAGAGGTTTGTTGAGTAAAGGGAGGGGATTAGGGGAGGGGGCTTGGGCAAGGAGTAAGGAAGGATGGACTTTGGTGATGAGGGTTGGAAGGGGATTGGTGGGGCTAGGGGATTGGTGAGCAAAGCAACCTGGGGTGTCAGCCCCTAGTAAGTTCATTTGGGGTGGGTGGGTTTTGGGGTGGGTTTTTGGAAGATGCTTGTGTGCGAATATTTTTTATGAGTCGAGATCAGTTCATGCAGTAAGGCTCTATTCTGATAGCATGAGCATCACGACAACTAGTAGATTCTTATCTGCTGTAGCCTTCATCCACCTTCACAGCCATTGTAACATACTAATTATTTTCTGCCTGTTCTGAAGTTGAGGACTTCTTAGATCATTCTTTGTCTAGCTCAGAGATGTTCAACCTTTTTGAGTCCATGGCTCCCTTAACTACAGTCTTTCTGTAGCACCCCTGTGGGGCTTAGAAGCCCGGTAATGTCACCCCTTGCCTGCAGAGCTGGCAGTCTCTCATCCTTTTTCAAACACCCTCCCTTGTGGAGTGTTCCCTCAGCCTCCTTTCCTCTTCCCTCTCCTCCAGGCAGCTGTTGCTTCCATCCCTGGTCTCTGAGCTGCCCCTCCTCCCAAAGAGAGGTGCCTCCTAGAGGCACTATTCACCTGCGGAACTTATAGCCATGGCTGCTGCAATAAACAGCTGTTCAAGCCTTTGGGGGGCAGAGACGCGAGAGGATGTCAGAGGAGGGAGGGAAGGAAAGAGGGGCAGAGGCCAGTGTTGCCTGCAACACCCCGACCATGATTCAATGCACCCCAGGATGCCATGACACCCTGGTTGAAAACCACTGCTCTAGCTCCTCTCCTTGGACCTTACTGCCTTGGGTGACCCTGCTGGAAGTACGAGACTCCCAATGGCTTCGCTCACAAGGATCACAGGGACGTCCAAGCCCATGCACCATGACAAGGTGATGATCCAGCGAGTGAGCAAGTTGATAGAGGTTTTTAAGGCAGCAAATGCATGCTGATCATGTGGGCTGAGATATTATGAATAAGTATTATCTATTTGATGGCTAGATTAGAGTAATATTCTATGGAGAGGTGTTGTTATACATCATGACTGATGTAAAAGCCTCATTTGCCTGTAATTGTTTCCATAAAACCTCATATTTGCTTACTTTGTCACCGGGAACATTAAGTAGGTTGGATGTAAAGACAACAGTGGCATTTAAAGCAATTTCAGCAGGCAACATAAGTGCCTGCCTGCCATATCTGCGGGGAAATTATATGTTAATTGTAATAAATAACATAGTACCGTAATGGACAGCAGAACAAATTTGAGAAAAACTTGGAGAGGACACAAAAAGGATACAGGGAGATAATGAAGAGGCACTTGGCTGGTTCCACCTACGTTTCTGTCACTGCTTAAGTGAAGGGACAAAATGTTTCCAACAAGGTTCTGTTCATGTTGCAACATCGTAAGAGTGAAAGGGCAGAGAATAAATCTAAATGTCTGAATAATTATTATGTGCCGCAACTGAGATTCCCAAATAAATGGCTGCATCATATAAAATGAGCAATTAGCTAACAAATTGTTGCCAAATTGTTGCCTTGTTGAAATACATATTCAATAAACATGAATATAATATATATAAGGACAAGTATCCATTAAACTTCATTTTGTAATGACGCAGTACAAAAATATGTGTATCTAGAAGAGCAGTTGTGCTTTTAAAGGGATTTTCTAAGCATATTATTACTTTCTTCAGTGTTAGTTATATTTCACCTAAAAAGGCTAAACTTGTAAGCTAAAATTCATTTTTCTGCTTATCTTTTACCAAACCCCTTCATTTTCAACAGTTCCACCATAGGTGCATATATGAACCAGTGACTTCACAACCCCTCTGGTAAAACAGAGAAAACAAGGTACAGTATGACCATGACCATGGCACTTCACCTGAATCAAGTGCCAACGATATACTAATTTTAAAGTGCCTTGTGTAGGACTATGGAAGTAGCAGTCAAAGTAAGCACTAGACCACATACTTTCCTAGGCATACTGTATTTTTCCATCTATAAGATACCCCCATGTATAAGATGCCCTCTATTTTGGGGACTCAGATTTAAGAAAATAGGGGGAGATGGCCCAGAGTATAAGACGCCCCCTAATTTTTGACATTATTTTTTTAGGGAAAAAACCTAGTCTTATACATGGAAAAATACGGTAATTCATAAATTTAAACCCAATATCTCTTTCCCATGCTTGATATGCTTTGCCTCCACTTTCATACTTGAGGTCCACTAGGAATTTAAATAGTGTAGAATTGAGACCCGATTGCTTTTTTGTGCCAGAATTAGAGAGATCCTCAAATAGGGTCAGTGAGCATAGAGCCTCAGGTGTATGAATCATGTGCACAAATGAGGGGACTTGAGCTAGGTGGAATCAGTTGTAGACTGGAGATGAGATGTCTCACTTTTGAAGCGTATATGTTTTGCACTCTGTCAAACATGTCTTTGTCCAGCAAGTCTGCTTTCTGAATCATAAACAGCTTTAATGCCAATACCTCAGTCTTTAAGGAAGAGATTACCTCACACCACACCACACCGTGACTTGAGATCTATCTGTTGCCCCAAAATGGAAAGACTTACATACAGTGGTACCTCGGGTTAAGAACTTAATTCCTTCTGGAGGTTCGTTCTTAACCTGAAACTGTTCTTAACCTGAGGTACCACTTTAGCTAATGGGGCCTGCCGCGCCACCGCCATGCAATTTCTGTTCTCATCCTTAATCCAAGGTACTATTTCTGGGTTAGCGGAGTCTGTAACCTGAAGCATCTGTAACTTAAAGCATCTGTAACCCGAGGTACCACTGTATAGACCTATGTTATATATATAAAAATGGAATTGGCTATTGCCAAAAAGATAACACAAATTCCATGTTGCTCAAAGCAAAGAGAAACTAGACACTTTCTTTACAATTTGAAGGCTTATTTCATATATTAATGACAATCACAGAACAGACCAATTACAGTGGTACCTCGGGTTAAGTACTTAATTCGTTCCAGAGGTCCATTCTTAACCTGAAACTGTTGTTAACCTGAAGCACCACTTTAGCTAATAGGGCCTCCTGCTGCCGCCGCACCGCCGGAATACGATTTCTGTTCTCATCCTGAAGCAAAGTTCTTAACCTGAGGTACTATTTCTGGGTTAGCAGAGTCTGTAACCTGAAGCGTATGTAACCCGGGGTACCACTGTATCACCCATTCAACAACATATACTATCATAACATCAACATCTGAACATCCGATAGCAATTCTAGAGAGGTTAATGGTTGTCTTTTTCATCTCCACTACAGTGGACAAACGAAACTCCACCCAGACTCCTTCCAATCACTCCAAGTTGCACAATGGAGATGTATAGGATAAAATATTTTAGAGGATGCTAGTGTCCTTACACCAGAGCCTGTCCTTACCCATAAGCATCAGAATTCTTAATTAATTTGTAATGCAACTGAATCACATAGTGTTTCTCTAACTTGAGTCCTAGCTGTTGTTGGACTATAACTCCCATCAGTGGTCAGTGGACTTAAGTGTGAGAAACACTGTGAGGGCGAGGGAGGTGGTAGGATGGGGAATATGGGATGTTCCATTTCTGTTATTATGCCTTACTTATTGTTTTCATTTTTAGCTTTATAAAATTGTATCAAATCAAATCTAATAAAAATGGGGAGAGGAAAAGTAGGTCTTAAAAATATACATAAAGGGTTACCACCACATCTGTATTTTTCTCCTCTGCAAGTTTCGTGTTGTGGGGAAAATGCCCATATTTGTTGTAAAAAGCCCTGCTGTTTTGCACATTTTTCTCTTAAACTGAATATCCAGTTGGGATTTGTAAGGCCTGCATCACTACTTTTGGAAATGGAAAAAGATGGAGACTTACAGTGACAAAGCCATGTTGTAGCAAGAGTGTCATCGATTGGAGTCCCTAAACCACTCTGAATTTTTCTCTAGCCAGGGTGAGCACTTTTGCACAGAGTAAAGATACCCTCTGCTGTATGAACAAAAACAGAAATGAATGAAGTTGTGCTGATGTGAACAGGATGAGAGGAAAACTGTGTAATGCACCAAGGGAAAAAACCCTTTATGATAGTCTAAGGGGGCCAGGTGAACACAACTCAAGTAGGCAGAGAAGGTTAAAACAGGTCTTTTTCATTTTTTAATGAAACTCAGGAAGTAGTGTCTGCAAGTCAGTGGTCAGTTTGCAGTGTTATCATGGTATATGGCATGCTTAATGCTGAAGATGACAGCAGTTTCCCAAAGCAGAACTTGACCTGACTTTTTACCCATTTAAGGTCAATGGAATTTTTTTAAAATAAATTTGCTTGCTGTTAAATCAAGGTTAATCTGCTCTTTTAAAATAGTTTCTACATTAGATTTTAGCATGCATACAAAAGTTCAGAGACAAATTAATCAAAAAAGGACATTTGGGAAGACTCACACCAGTACAAAGAAGAGAAAACATGCCAGCAGAAGCTTAGGGCACTTCTAGACTGTCACTATTTCAAAATGCAATTCAATCACACAGCTGCAAATTAAGGTTGCACAATGAAAGTTGTCTTCTTTATTGGACTTCTTTGGGATAAGGGAACATGTACACCCACCCTTGTGGATGTCAGCATCTAGAATAAATCTAGATTGATTAATTGAGGATGAGCATGAACAATTCCATATTGAGAAATAATGCATTTTTTGCTGCAAACATGTGAGTATGTAGCTTCAGTGTTGCCCTTGTAGAATTCACTGGGGAGGAGGATAGGGGAAAACATTAGAATCATTTTTTTCTGCCCACCATTGCCTCTGCCTCTACCTCTACCTAATATTTATCTCCCTGGCTTTTGCCCTACCAGCTTCAATGGGTGCTAGCCAACACTGGGCACAAACTAAAAAGCTGCCAATAGAACATTTGGGTTTATGCTTTGTTCATTTTCACTTGTGCCAACAACTCAATTTACAAGCATTCCAGTTTGTTCAAGTGAGATCTTTGCACAGTTTCAGTGTAGATTAAAGTGGTCATTCTGTAGCAGAGCATCAAGAGCATTCTACCACCTGGTGCCTACCAAATGTGACTCCTATCACCTCTAACAATTGGCTGTGCTAGCTGGGGCTGGTAGTAACTGGAGTCCAAAACACCAGGCTGGAGGAAAACTGGACTCAAGTGTTTCTCTATATTTACAATCACAAAGGTTCCCTGTTTGGTAGCAATGGAAGTTCCAGCCATCACCCCTCTGAACAGGTGTAACCTGGCAACATCAGTGAGAAAGGGGTTTGCTATCTCTTTATACATAAGGGTTATATACTGTCTTTTCCACACAAAAACTGGAGCTATCAACTTTCCTGGCATGGAAAATTATTCTATTTATAGTTCCATAAAGGAGCTGCCAGCCAGTCTCAGTCACAGGCTTGTGGCCAGAAATGTGGCTGACAAGATGAAGGGAGTACTGGGAAATATTCACAATGAATGTGAAATGATCTGAATAATGTTTACAGTGTATCTTTAAAGTGATGTAAGACACAATAATAGAATCAACATTTAAATATAATCAAAAATAAGTTCAAAGTGTGTTTTTTCAACTATCCCTTGATCTTTGCACTCATTGGCTGGAATTCTAGAAATCAGGAACATGCTTACTTCTTTCTGAATATTTGGGTAGAGTACTGATTGCTGCTTATTTTCCCTAGCAGATGGGCCCTGGGTACAGTCTAAAGCTACATACATGAGGCCACTACTTGGCTGAAACCAATGAGGTCTCACTCTGATCAGCACCTGAATGGTTGGCTGACTGGAAACAGCTTTGGGTTCGGTGATGGAAGAAAAAGCAGGGTGTGAATGTAATAGCCTAAAATAAACTCAACTAGGTTTTATCTCTCTTACCTCCAGGTAGAACTCAGGGGGAAGTATGTTGAGACCTAGAGAACTGCCAGAGTAGACAGTATTGATCTAAAAGGGCCATTGGTCCGACTCAGTATGAAGCAGCTTCCTGGGTAGAAAAATTAAAGCTGAAAGTTTAAGGAGGGGAGAATGTTTCGGCGGGTAAGATAGTAGTCAAGACAATCACGGATCTCTACTTTTGGTGATGAATCAAAAACTTCTGCTTTTAATTACCTCAAGCCTGCCAGCAGATGTCAGTGTAGATTTACAGAACAGGAAATTCATCTGGCCAGAAGGATAAACATTGCAGTAACTGATTCAGGCAGCAAAGCAAAATCACTTTGATGCAGATTCAGATTGAAACTCTGAGAGTTTCCTTCCCATGTTGCTGGGTTGAAGTGAGAATAGAGGCTGGGCCCCAATAAGGAAATCCATATATGATGTTTGGGTGAGGTATAAAAACCTGTTAGAAAGAAAAACACCTTGGTGGCTATCCCCAGTGGAAGCAATATCTGTTAAAAGATTAAAAGTTAAAAGATTAAATATGAAAGGAAAATGGCCCACCTATAGAGAGATTTTGATGGAAGCCGATAGTGAGTTAGAAATGAAACCATTTGATGAAGTTGGTGATGTATTAACAGGTTGGTTGCAATATCATCAAATAAATGATATATTTAACAAAGACAAAAGAAAAATGGTTTTGAAATTACAAGATCAGTGGTGGAGCTTCATGCTCCGGCACCGGGGGCGGAGAGCAGGCGGGGGCGTGGTCAGCACGCATCCTGGGGGCGTGGCACACTGCCTGCAGAGGTGTGGCACGTGTCCCAGGGGCATGGGATGTATAGATGGTATTTAACTCCAACTAAATTAGCTAAAATGTATAGAATGAGAAATAAGAATTGTTGGGAATGTAATGCTAAAGAAGGCGATTTTTTACCATATGTGGTGGACATGTGATAATGTTAAATTATTTTGGGGAAAGATTTATAATGAGTAAAAAAAACATGTTTAGGTATACTTTTCCAAAAAACAACAACCCTGAAGCATTTCTGTTGGGTATGACAGGAGAGGAAATATCAAAAGTTGACTGGAAATTGTTTATGTATGCTACTGCGGCAGCTAGAACTTTATTAATCCCAAAGTAGAAACAACAAGAATCACCGACGGTTGAAGAATGGCAGATGAAGATGA